ATGAACATATCTGACAAGCTTGAGAATTTTCAATGACAAGCAAGACGACGCATAGACGACTCAAAACATTGAGACTGACAAAGTTGAGCATGCACATAGAGTCAAAAGATCACAAACAATATTTAAGCCAATTCATAAATCTTTCCTTATACTAATTTATTGATTGTTGATGTTGGTGAATCCAAAAGCCCAAATGCTTTGAAAAAACAATATTTTTTGAAGATTTTGTCAAGTGGTAAAATGCAATGGAAAAAGTAGTCATACAAAAATGAAGCTTCAATATTACTTGAGCTACTGATTAATTAGAGGGCATTGTAGAGTAAATTGATACTTAGGATGAAGGAGGATTACAATGACAATAAAATATAAAAAGGGGATGTTTGGTTTGACTTTTTGAAAATATATATATTTTCAAAGAACAGAGTAAATAAAACATTTGTTTAGAATATAAAATTAATAAAGTTTTAAAGCTTCAATCATTTTCAAAATAGAAACTTATTGAAAATATTGAGCAAGCATCAATCCAAGTGAGCCAACAAATTGAGTGCAAACACAAAAAACTAGCTATACATACAAAGAACAATAATACTCACCCTGGGCATGATAAACAAACTCAACTCCTCATCTTTTCAGCTTGCAAACACCCACGAAGATACTTGTAAACACCATAAATAACAGTGCCACCCACGAAGACAACAACAGTTAGAGTAAATGAAGGATAAACAAATTTAACATAAATAACAGTGCCACCCACGAAGACAACCATATAATGCAATATGGATCTGTGATTATACAGATGCCAAGATGTCAATGTCGGTCAACTTTTTGTTTTCACGGTAGGACGTGAAAAATCAAGTGGGAGTAGCTCAAATCGGAACAGTTATTTTCAGGAGTCCAAAAGAATGAAAAAGTATGTGATGTCACAGATACTGAGGATAACCCTCAATGACACTTCCCAAACTATCCTACTGTGACTGCATTTTGGAGATGATGTTATTCAATTGTTCAATCCTGTCACTTTTATTATGCATAATATACATTTGCATAATATCTGATTATGCAAATAGCCCGCAAAGAGATGAGGGTTTACATCGTAACGAACGACAACCTCAGAACCTAAAGTGAATTAGGACTTAGCTGCACAACATGGTTGTACAGGAGCCTAAAAAAGACATGAGGATTTATGTCGTGCTAGACGAGCTATCTCGAAGCCCTAAGTGTTGTTATTTAGATTAGGAAAATTTAGCTGGTGTAGACTTGTTTTGCTGTTGTAGAATGACGATCACATCCACTTGTGTCTGCTCCAAGCTCCTCGTTGCGCTGCCCACGAAGTTGCTCCAAACTCGTTGAAGTAGCAGTCATGAAGTCGAAGGTTTAAAAGGTTTTACCAGGTGTGTTTCATGGTTTTGGTTTTACATGCAGAATAAGCAAATTACAGGTAAATAAAATGTATCTGAACAGTAAAATACTGCAAATAAACTGTAAAAATGTACCTGGACATCTGCTATTATTGCGTGATTAACATTGTAAGCATAATATGATTTGCAACATATTTAAATAAACTTGAAAGAAAAATAAGCAAAGCGAGAAAACCCAGCACCAAAGTCAGAAAAACGAGTCGTAGCAAAATACAAACAGGTAAAGCAAAATCTGTAGTCACATATGAAAGACCAGGACTAGGTATAAGACATCAGTAAAGGTGGGGGCTCAGAGCTGTACTGTGTGCTTCTCAAGCTTGGGTAAGAGTTGCCAACCACACAATCTACGGAAGACAGTCTTTAACCTCAATCCAAGTGACTAGTTGTTGACCTTTATAAGTTTTACTAAAATTCTTTAATATTTCATGCAAAAGTTGTTGTTTAGATTTACATGCACAGTTCACTTTAACATACAAAAGAATTATTTATTTTTTTTTATTTTTGTAAATATTTTGTAAAGTAGTATAGTCCACAGACTAGTCACTCTAATCTGGCTAGGAATACTGACGACTTAAGAGCATCGAGGGCAACAATTTGACTAAAAGTTGGCGACTAGTATCATCGGTCCTTATCCTCTCCGCTCATTGAAGGTCAGGGAGGTAGGCGATACTATTTTAATAATTCCACTTCGTATCCCTCGTTAAAGCACACATAAGCAGTGTCGTCATCGCCTTCGCCACTTAGACCCTAGACTTATTCTACTCCAGTGATCCATATGTGACATTAATAAATGTCCTCAATTGCCAGGAGGATTTGAGTGTAATGTTCAAACTCAAATTCCGGTGTACTGGGTTTCACTGTAGGTTAAGTCATTGCGGGAATTTCAATTTTGATTTAATTAAGAAAACATGAACTACGTCTCAGTGCATCCTCATGTCTAGTGTCTTAGTCAATTTATGAATTAGGGTCAAGTGTCTAACTTTATTATTCATTTGAAAATTAGGTAGATGAACGCTCACGTAGGGTGTGCTCCTAAAATCCAGGAAGTCTACACTAAGAATTAGGTAGATTGACTCTCATCTTGGATATGTTCCTAAAATCTAGGATGCCTACACTGAGAATTAGATAGATAGACTTTCAACTTGGGTGTGCTCGTAAAATCTAGGAAGCTTGCACTGAGAATTAGGTAGACGGACTATCACATAGGGTGTGCTCCTAAAAATCTAGGAAGTCTATAGTGAGAATTAGGTAAATTAACTCTTACCTCAGGTGTGCTTTTAAAATCTAAGAAACCTACACTTTTAACTTGTGTTTAAAGTGATTTAATGTGTTCTACTCTCAATTAAGTGTTATTCAACTAATTCTCAAATATTTCTAAGTGTCTTCCAAACAATTAAATCAGAAATTCTCATTTTTCGATTTAACCATTTAACAAAAGTTTCAGAACAAACGAAAAGAAAAGGTTGACCTATTTCCAAAACTAACAAATCAAATGGGAAAATAACAAGTGAATCAACCTAAAAACGTTTAAAATCTTTCAACAACCGTAATAAAATAGACGCTCGAGAAGAGTGCTTAAATTTATTCCAACAGAGTGTTTTGATCAACCTAAAAGTCTTCCAAGTAATTATGTAATAAAATGAAAAATTTATATATATATATATGTATGTATATATATATATATATATATATGTATGTATATATATATATATATAT